TAACTGTATCTCACAGTGATTCATTGGTAGGGCATTTGCCTTGCATGCAGCCAACATGGCCGACCCGAATGATTCATTAAATAAACTAAAATAAAAAATAAGAATGAGAAGGCCAAGGATGTGGCTCAGTGGTCAAGTGCTTGCTTTGCATGCCATGACTCCTGGGCACAATCCCTGCACTGCAAAAAGAAAAAGAAAGTCAAGAAGGGGGAAGAATCTGGACTGATGGAGGAATAGGAAGCACCAACCAAGACTCCATCCTCTCCATCACCCGGCGTAACTGCACTGGCGGAATCTGTCTGATGTGATTGTTTTATAACTACGGAGTCAGCTGAAGAGTGGCTACTTCTGAAAGAAGGCATACCTGGTAGGGTACAGATAATTTTGATCAATTTTAGCTCTTAGCTCAGAAGCAGCTACCCTCTGCCCAAAACCTCAGCATGTGAGTCAACTGTGCAGATATTTGAGGAGCACTTGATGTGAAGACAGAATGGGCAATGGAGACCTTGTCCTCCAAACCAAACATCAGGGCTGTATCTTTTGACCATGGACTTGATAGTAACTGGAAGCCATGTGAAGAAATAAAGACCTCCACAAAGGAACATACATACTTCCATAATGATGAAACTGTATGCCTTCAACAATCTAAAGTCGTACAGACCAAACTCTGAGGAAGTAAGATTTAGGCATTGTATTGAAATTGTCACTGTCCTCCCATTGTTCATCGATTTGCTCCAGCGAGCCCAGTAACATCTCCATTGGAGACTTTGTTGTTACTGTGTTTGGCATATCGAATACGTCACGGGGAGCTTGCCAGGCTCTGTAAAAATCCAACTATATGCATGCTGTCTCAAAGAACACGCATTTTGGAATGATTTGTTCTAACTCAAATTTGGAACAAGTAAATTATAAAGTTTCTAATACTGAGCAAAAACAACGACCCAGTCTAGAAACGGGCAAAGGACTTGACTACAATGAAGACATTTCTTCACAGAAGAGATAAAAATGGACATTAAGCACATGAAAAGATTCTCAACACATCGGTAGGGAAATACAAAATCTCATTGTACTTGGCAGTTTGACCAAAATTCCCTAAGGGTGGGGGGTGGGGGAAAGTCACACAGACGATTACCCAGAACATTATCTCTTATAAATGTTGGATTCTGATATGTTGTATTTTTCTCACCCCATCAATAGTCCATAATCTCTTTACTCATAGAAACAGAGGCTGTAAGTGTCAGCAGAACGGAGAATGAGGAACCAAGGGGTGGCCGTGGGATTGGCACTATTCTATGTTACTCAGGGTGACTCACTGGCAAATCTTTGCTTCCTGTCACTGCCAGGTAAGCTCTGCTGCCTATGGGTCTCAGCTCCAAAGGGACGAACTCCAGGAGACACCCCAAGGCCTCCACAGAGCTGAACGCTATCACCACTGCCCAACCACTGTGGGTTCCTCATGTGTCTGTGAGGAATGGGGTTGTCTGGAGTGACTGATCCTGGCCACCAAGGGAAAGTGGGCAGCTACTCCGCTGGGAGCCGAGGATAGAGGGTCCTGAGGGTATCACTACGGCCTGCCTCTCGGTGTAATGGAAAAGTGCTGGAGACCTGAGTGCTCTCTGGTTTTACAAAATAGAAGCAGTCGTGTTCGGCAGAAAGGTCATCTGGCTATTTCCTTATTTGGAGATCATTATGATTTAAGGAGTAAGGTGACACAAGGTGGACTGTGAAGTTAATTCTTTGTGTCAAGATTTCGTTAAGCGTTATTCTAGATATTCTGTGATGTCATTTTTTTTTAAAGATGTCTTTTAGTGAAACTGAGGAAGATGTGAGAGGAGTGAAAGAGAGGCAGTACATGTTTAAGGGAGAACACAGGCTTCTCCCGGTGGAACAAGCCAGCGAGATATGTGTTCCAGGGAGAACGCGGGCTTGAAGAGCAAGCCTGTGGTACTATTGTTTCAACTAAGGTTTAAGTGAAGTTAAAACTTAACTAAGTAGATGCTAAGTCGGTGTGTCATGCCACACTGAGTGAGTAGGCCTCATCCAACAGCTGACAGCCTGAACAGGAAAAACAAATAAAGGAAAGGACCACCCAGGAAGAAAAGGGAATTCTGTCAGCAGACCAGACTGACTTCAGACTCAGATTCCAGCACCAGCTCGTTCCTCAGCCTTCAGTTCAGTCTGCTCTGGACTCAACACCCACGTGAAGTCTTACCAAGAACCAAGAGTCATAGGAACAATCTTTGTTTTGGGGCCACACCCAGTGGTGCTCAGGGGTTACTTCTGGCTCTGAGCTCGGGAACTGCTCCTTGTGGTGCTCAGGGGACCTTATGGGATGCTGGGAATCACACCTGGGTTGGCTGAGGTTTCATGCAAGGCAAATGCCCTCACCACTGTATTACCACTCCAGCCCCTGAACTAATTCTTGAAAAAAATCACACACACTCACACACACACACACACACACACACACACACACACACACAGTGGTTCAGGGAACTGAAACATAAAAATACTGAAGCACTGAGCCACTGAAGCACACACAACCGGACTGGCAGGGCTTTGCCTAAGAGAAGAGACTAAACGCCAGTACTCTAGGTAGGAGCCATCTGACCTGGCTGGTACTCAGTTACTCCAGGAGTTCAAAAAACCTTAAAAATGTCACTCCTTTTCACACCGTACATATCAAAGAATTTCACATAACCCAAACACTAATTCAAAATCATGAACTTTTAGGGAAAAATACAGGACCATCTCTCAGAGCAGTGAAGAACCTCTACAAGCGAGAAGGCCTGTTTACAACAGAGCTACAAAAACTACACAAACAATGCTCTGCTTTAACTCCAACACCCAAAAGAGGAGAGAGTGAAAGGATGAATGTGCCTGCCACAGAGGCAGGGGGTGGGAAGGGGTGTGGGTGGTGGGAAGGATGCTGGGAACATTGGCGGTGGAGAAGGGGCACTGGCGGAGGGACGGGGACTCCCACATTGTACCACCGAAACATAATCACGAAAGTTTGTAAGTTTGTAACAGTATCTCAGGGTGACTCACTAAAATAAAATTTAAGAAAAACAAAAACAACGCTTTGCTTTAAAAGCAGCCTAAAGGTGGTGAGCAAACATGCCAGAATGTGGGAGAAGGCGGTTTTTTAAGCTTCTATTCAGTAACAGTTAAAGACTGGGTACAACAGGAAAGGATTAAATTCAAATATAGAGAGCACACGCGTGCACAGGTAAGGTGAATAGGTCAGATCAAAAGATCACAACATAAGAAATGTGAATAGATTAGAAATGCATGCGCATCTATTAAAACAACACGAGTCAAAGGTTTACAAAAATAGGGACCTGAGTACACAATAAGCATCTGAACAGACGTTCAGCTACATGAAAAATGAGAGACTGCAAATTAAAATATACTGAGAAATTGACACCTCTATCATACTGGTAGAAATTAACACGCGTTGGGTGGAAAAGATAGCCCGGGGGTACATGCACTGCATGCACACAGGAGGTCTAGGTTGATGCCTGGCAGAGCAGGACCCCAAGAGCACTGCCAGGAGCAACTTCAAGCACAGAGCCATTGAGTGGCTGCTGAGAACCATCAGGTATGGTCACAGAATGAAACAAATTAATACATTGTCAACCACAACAACAACAAATTAACAAGTGTCAGAGCTGAGGATTTGGCTCAGTGGGGGGTGGGGGGGGCACATGCTTTGCCTGCATTAGGTTCTGGGCTCCATCCTTGGGACTCCAAAACAAATAAGTGTCACAAAAGTGTCACAGTATCCCCGGATGGGAAAGATGCAGAACCACTGTCATTCTTCTTCCTGCTAGTGGGAAAACAAACGTGTCCTCACTTTTTAAAAGCAGCGACAGTGTGCAGGTGGGTACACGAGAAGCCTGAAATTCCACTCCACTCCCGTGAAAATCCCCCACACAAATTTGCCAGGATATGAGTGCGACAATGTTCCCAGAGTCGCTTTCAAGCAGTCCAGAAAGTGACACAACAACCCAAATTTCAAAAAACCAGGATGCATGATGCTTTGGGCGAATGCACAGACGTGAGAAAAGTGAACAGACTAGTTGCATAGATCTACAGGAATACATTTCAGAATGTCACATGAAGGGAGAAAATGTCACATGAAGGGAGAAAGCAAGACAGACACCCGGGGCGGCAAGAGCGGGCTTGATAGCCAACCTACTCCCCATCGCCCTGATGCTCTTATCCTGGACCTTTATCTTCTTGGTTATGCTTGGTTACGTAACACAGCCAGAGCACCTAAAACAATCCCAGCTACATAATACCTTCTCAGGAAATATTTCTTGAATGTGTTAGCGGAATGAAGCTATATAAACACTGACTTGGTTAGGGATGCATCAGATAGGAAAACTATAAAAACAAATGGTAATGGAATGAAAATTACAAAAGGAACCTCAAATCCCATGAGGTGGGGAGGGAAAAGGCCACCTAGGACAGAGGAAACTTCCCTCTCTACACTGAGCGTGAAATATACATGGGAAGGCGCATGTGTTTATAGGTATATGTTCTTTAGATTATATATAACCTAAGTTTTGATTTGTATATACATATATGTGTACATATATATATTATACACACACATATATACATATAAACTCTGAGAGTAAAACCCTACTCACATTTCTCCCATCACCCTGACTCCGATTCACCCCTCTCTACCATTATCCAAGAGCCAGGTAACAACTAGAATATTTTCATAGGACAGGACAGGAGCAAACCTGACCTAGGAATCTGGTGGAAAATCTGAGATTCACACCAATTCTACCATACTATTTCCACTTAGATGGAATCCTCGGCACCAAATACGGACTAGTTTACAGAGAAAAATGATATTTTTATATTACCCAGTCAGACAATCAACGGGGAAAATACCCACCACCACAAAACCCAAAACTACTGCTAAGTGTCACCTATCAAGTTACTGATCTCTGCTCAGTCTGTCAGAAGGAGTTCGCACATACCTGGATACTGCCGAATTCCACGTTCTCATAATGGAAATGTGCACACTCAGCCATCTTCGGAAAATGACCTTTGGTGAACGGTAACCTGAAGGACAGGACAGGGAATTAATCCGTGAGATCCGAGACACTGGCAGCGTCAAAAACTACGGTGGCTCAGTGGGTTTATAAGCTCATGCAAATGAAACTACTGAAGAAGCGCATGCCCACAGGACACAGAGACGCACACAAACCTTTCCCAAAATACACTGGACCAAAGAAATATTACATTTAGTGCACAAGTCAAAACCAAAAAAATAAGTAAATGAAAAAAAATTTTTTTAAGCATCACTCTACTCTTCTGGTCCTGATCCAAGTCTACTGCAATAGAAAAATTCTATTTTGAGCGACTGTTAGGGAACCTGGGTGTGAACAGCCAGCTTCTAGATGGAGGCAGTATTCCCACCACAAAAGTACAGAGCCTGGCGTTACCTGTGGATGTTGTCGCAGCCCAGCAGTCCTGGATTCGGGGGTCTGAATGCAGAACGAACATTTTTTTTTATCCTCATCTTTTCTCTCCTTACAATAAAACCACAACTATCTCACCCTCTACCCGATTAAACAAAAAGATGTTTTCCTATTTACAACTGCTATATGTGTGTGTGTGTGTGTGTGTGTATCTTTAGATATTTCATGTAACAGTCAACTACCTGCATCTATTTTAGCCTTTCCTACAGGGCCTAAGTCAGATGGCAAAGCTGAATTTCCTAAATGCAGGGAAAGCACAGAGTCATGGTTTCGAGAAACAGACTTGAACTGTTCCTGTTCAACAGATACTTGAAACAAATACAAAAGAGACAACAGCACAGTTGTTTTGAGAACAAAAATGCCGTACACTATCTGGCACGCCAACAAACTCCAGGCCTCTTGCACAAATCACAGAATTATCATCAAAAGCCTAATCGTTTCAAATATGTAACTAAATACTATGGATCCAGCTAAAAGCCTTCTTTTTTTTTTTTTTAAATGGGACTTAAGGAACTGATCTGCACTGGTGAGGATTTGGACAGAACCCCCCCACAAAACCCCAACTCACTTTTTCACATGTTTGACCTTCATGCTGGCAGTGGTGCTGCATGTCTTCAGAGAAAGGTCTCCTGGAATCTCTGGCACGTCCGCTCCTCTCGCCTTCGAAAACATCAAGGACAAAAGATTGATGACCAGGCCCTGAGTGTGAATGCTTTAGGGCCCAGGCTCAAGTGAGCAGTCCGGAGAGACAGGAGAGAGAGCCGGGCGTCGGCCATGCATGCGTCCAACCCTCACCCTTCCAGCACCACCTATATAGTCTCCGGAGCATGGCCAGGAGTGACCCCTGAGCAGCGCAGAGCCAGTAGACAACCGAAGCACCGCTGGGTGTGTCCCAAAAACAACAATTGCAACAACAACAAAACCAGAGTAAAGTTAGCTGAAATGATTCTACTGACCCTGCAACAATTAGAGGTCATTTCCATCTAATATATGCATCTAGCATTATCTTCTTCAATCCCTAATTTAATTGGCTCTAATTGTTAAGAATGAGGAAGAATAGTCACCAAAATATTTAACTGCTATAAAGGGAAAATTCTTCTGTGAAAACAGGAACTCAGAGGGCTGAAGTGACAGTACAGTGGGGAGGGTGCTGGCCTAGCATGCAGGTGACGGGGATCCCCGGCATCCCATAGTGGCTTCTGAGTCTGTCAAGAATGACTCCTGAGTACAGGAATAATCTCTGAGCACCAATGGGTGAGCCCTGCTCCCCCCCCGAAAAAAAAAAAAGAAAAACAGGAATTCGTGCATACAAGAAATCATGAAAGAGCATTCTAAGCAATAAAATTTCAAAGAAGCAAATACACGATGCATCTCAGCACAAGCTAAAATCTTCCCTGGGAACTGTGGAAATAAAATAACCTTGTTTACCATGATTAATAAAAGTGAAAATGGTGATGTGAACATAATTAGGAGATTGTGACATGCATTTATCACACTGAAATTTCAAAGGGATATATGTAACACTTTCGCCTCAGAATACTGATCGTTAACCTCAGTGACACATTTAACAATATGACTTAAAATAAAAAAAGACAAGAAACTGGAGGAAGGGGGGGGGGAGAGAGAGAGAGAGAGAGAGAGAGAGAGAGAGAGAGAGAGAGAGAGCAGCCTACATGCATGTTTTCGTGGGGGGGAGGGGAACCAGGTTCCATCCCCAACAACCCACGGTCTCCGTGAGTGTGACCCCTAGCAAAAAAATAGATATAAACAAAATGAGAGCAGAATCTGGAAACTCAGCAGGGTGTTCACACTCTGGACAAATATATAGAAAATTCAAATATCTGTTTTAAAAAAAGCAGATAAGCCAAAACTTAAATGGAATTATTATAACCAATGTCACAACAAGAGTGAAGCATAGGATGGGATGAACCACTGAACTGGGTTAGTGACGATTCACAACTTCAACTACCATTTTTTAAATGCTGCTTTATCTCAAAAAAATTGCCCAAAGAGTTGGATAAGTGTTAAATATCACGACGTTTCAAAGCTATATGGCAATGAGGCTTGAGCACATAAAAATAGCCTGTTGGCATATGTCACTGGCGTTCACTGCAGCCCCTTTGTGTTTTAAGGCCTTTGTCTTCAGCAAAGTTAGACTTGCTATAGTTAACAGTTAATAGAGTCGCTAAGATTTCAGAAGTCTATTTTTCAGGAGTTATCCATTCTTCTTAAATCAAGATGATTTTAAGATCAACTCCATCTAGAAGAACGAAGTCTTCCAAACAGAAGAGAAAAATGACTTTTTTTTACTCTATCTTAAGTGTTATTTCATAATCCTAAGTATTATTTCACCAATAAATTCACATTCATAGTCATCAATTTTTCCCTTCCATGCTAGGGAAAAAATGTTTTTTTTTTTAAAAAAAAAAACTAAGAAATAAATTGTTAAGGAAAATGAGGGGATCGCTCAGAAAGAGCCACTTAAACTTCCTCCACTCATGACATCTTGGGAAAGTGCTGCCACAAATCCTGGATTCCCGGCACACTCACTCGATTTGGAATTTGTGGGTACTGTGCACCCTGAAATCTTTCACTCCTGCAAAACTTTTCCTGACCCACTTTCAGTGAGGTGACCCTGATAGGAGCCTCTTTCCCCTGGGTTAAGAAGCTAGAATCTAGAAGAGGGGTTCACAATTTTTTTTCTTAAAGGGCCTGATAGTAAATATTTTAAGAGTTGTGGGTCGTAGAGCCTTTGCCCCCCCTCAACTGGGCATCAGAGCTGAAAAGGCAGTTAGTAATGTCTGGGAACAGACACACTAGGTGAGTAGTTTACTTGCAAAAGCAGGCAGCCAGGAAGTGGAATTCTATCAACCCTTCACCCACAACAATGATGCAAGAGAGAAAGGAGTCTCCATCCACCTTCTAGTTCCTGCTGTCCAAAATGCTGCATCATCTTTTTTTTTGGGGGGGGGGAGGGGGGCATGATTTTTTTTCATTTTTTTTTTTAAATTAAAGGGCTATGATTGACCAAGTTATTGAGAGCTGAGTTTTAGGCATATAGTATTTCAACACCGATCCCATCACCTGTGTCAACTTCCCTCCAACTGTGCCCCCATATTCCCACCCCCTCCTCACCCCCACCCCACCCCACCCCGCCTACCAACTTGACAGGCACATTACAAAGTTTCAGTGGGTTACAGCTTAGAGCTGTGCTCAGTGTTGCTGGGTCCGTGTTTGTGTTCTGTGGCTGTCCCACTCTCCCGTGTCCCTGGTATAAGTGGAGCCCGATGCCAGTTCACTCATTAATTCCCTTTCTCGTCTACCCTCCATCCGCACCCCCCGCCCCCCGACTCCCCACTGATTTCTTTCTCGCTCTGTCTCCTCTCTGAACTCTGGGGTCAAGGGTGATGGAAACACGCCCTTTGATGTGGCTGAAAAAGGAACTCTCACCCACTGTTGGTGGGAATGTTGTCTGGTGCAACTCCTGGGGAAAACAGTACAGAGAGTTTTCGGTAAACTTAGAACTGAACTTCCAGACGACCCGGCAATTCCACTTTTGGGCATCGACTCCGGGACATAGAAACACTCTCAGAAGGGCATACGCAAACCATTCTTCATTGCTGCACCATGTTTTAAGAAGGTATTTTAAGTCTCAAGAGGGGCCAGAGATATAGTACAGAGATTAATGCTCTTGCCGTGTATGTGGCCAACCCGGGTTCGATCCCCGGCACCACATTTGGTTTCCTGAGCACAGACGGCTGCTGCCCAACCCTTCGGGCCACCAAAAGGCCAGACTCACCATCAACTCATGCACCTCATGTTTCTAACAGGCATTTGTCTTTCGGTGAGTTTGAGAATTTGATATTCTCATTTTTCCATGAATAAAAATGCTAAACAAATAACTCTGTAATGTTTGGCTATACCAAATATGAGCACAAAGATATAACTAATAATTAAAAGTAAATTATATATAAACACAAAAAAGATGGTCTTTTGCTCCCTTTCAATTATAATAACCTAGACCATAATGTTTTATCAAAATATTGTGACAAGACTTTTTTTTTAATCCTCTAAGATACTTGGGCACCAAAATTTACTTGATATGAACAGGCTTGCTGTGCTTATATTCTTATTTAATAGTCATAATCAAGTGTTTTTATTACTAATTCATTCATTCATAAATTGACTTAAAATATTTTAAAAATTAAAAAGAATCCTTTGGACACAGTTTGATAAGCAATGATGACTATTTGATAGCTTGAAGTAACTTTGTTTTTTTACTTAAATATTTTTATTCTATTAAAAAATTTTTTTTATTTGATCACTGTGAGAGAGACCCTTACAAAGCTGTTCATGCTTAGGGTTCAGACACACAGTGTTCTGACACCCGTCCCTCCACCAGTGCTCATTTCCCAGCACCAGCGTCCCCAGGTTCCCTCCCATCACCCACCCACCTCTCACCCCCCAGCCTGCCTCTATGGCAGGCACTTTGCTTTTCTCTGTCTGTCTGTCTGTCTGTCTCTCTCTGTCCCTGTATCTCTGTTTCTGTCTCTGCCTCTGTCTCTCTCTCTCTCTCTCTCTCTCTCTCTCTCTCTCTCTCTCTCTCTTTTCCTTTTGGGCACTGTGGTTTGCAATACAGATACCGAAAGGGAAATAACTTCTTCTGAAAATGAGTTCTCCCGAGCTGCGTCTTGAGCTAAACGAAGCAGCATGCTTGTCTCTGAGCGACAGCCGAAGACTGAATGATGACAGGGAGAACTGTGGCCCCAGATAAACCCACAGTTTACAAAAAAAGACAGTGATGATCACGGAGTCAATGAACGAAATAGCGGCCCGAGAGCCTTGTAGAACTTGAAGGAGACTTTTTTGAACCCGTAGTTCAACCGTCTTGTAAGCACGTGTGTTTTCTCCAGCAGTAACTTCCTACAATTTAACCCTCAAATTAAGTGCTATCTTTTCTTGCTGTTGTTGTATTTTGTTTGTTGGGGGGGGGGGGGGGTCACACCCGGTGGCTTATTCTTGGCTCTTTGCTCAGGGATCACTGCTGGAAGGGCTTGGGAGGAACAAACGCAGTGCCAGGCATCTAAACTGGGTCGGGCGTGTGCCAGGTAAATGTCCTACCCTTTGGTCTACCTCTCCAGCCGGGAAGTGGCAGCATTTTTATTTTTTAATATCCAGAATGAGGGAAAATACAGCAATTACAGTCCCATTAGTCTATTAACAGTCTAGTTTACATAGTCTTTAAACTCTTCTAAATTTCAACTGAAAGGGTGTGTGGATCTGAGTCATTTAACAATTTTCTCTCTCAGAAAATGTCCTCTGACATTCATTCACAGAAAATAGAGTTTTCCCAATTTATGCATGCTATAATCATCGGTTAATTATGCTTCCGAAATAGAATTTACATCAAACTTCACAGAAATATCATCAGTCACCAATAAAAAAAAAAAGAAGATGAAGAAGAAGAAAACACCAAAATAACCGACAGCAGAAAGCCGGTTCCTAAAAACAGACTGAACGGAGAGGAGATGAAAGTGCCCGATTGGCCCCCTTGTCCCACCCTGCGCGGGGCCTTCGCGCTCACGTCCCTCAGCTGCTCTGGCGGCCGTTTCAGATGAGCCAGCCTCCCACGTGCCTGGCTAAAGGACCCCCACTCCCTGAGCGGTGCCCACTGAGGCTGGGCCTCCTCTTGCTGCGGTGGGCGCACATGTGCTCTGCAGCCGTGCCTGGCTGGGGGCTCCCGGGTGAGGGCTGTGGGACAAGCCGGGGGACGGTGGGTGACGACAGCATCTGCACCTTCGTTGGCCAGAGGGGCACTTCCTGGCATGTGGTTTGGGCTGTGGGGCTCACCGGGGTTCACAGGACTTGGTGGTGGTGGTGCCCCTCCCTGCCCACACACCTGGCCATGGCGTGCTGGAGCAATGAGGGCAGTGCAGGACACGGGATTGGAACTCGGGGCCACATGCTTCCAAGGCAGGCTGGAGCATCTAATCATGATGCTTTTGCTGTGGGGGCTATTTTTGGGGGCGGAGGCGGCAATAAGGAGGCCCAGGGCGGGGGCGGTTGGGGTGGGCGAGGGGACCTCCCTGTTTTCCGGGCCAGGCAAGAACTGAGGTTGCGTTGGTGCCTGGGCCCTGTGCTGTCGGGGACTGCCATGCCACCCTGGAAACGCTCAGGTGACCCCAGGATGCACCCAAGGCTCCAAGAACTGAGTGATGTTGGGGGTTAGACAGGAGTCGGGGATACGCACGGCATGAGCCAGACCCGCGTCTCTCCGCCTCCTCTACTTTAAGTTTGTGTTTTGTTTTGGGGCCACACCTGGCAATGCTCAGGGCTCATTCCCGGCTCTGCGCTCAGGGATCACTCCAGGCAGGGCTCAGAGGGCCATATGGGGTGACGGGGATGGAACCAGCGTGGGCAGGGCAAGCGCCCTACCCTCTGGACTATGACTCCAGCCCTCAACATTAAAGTTTGAGGCCTCTCATTTTCCTCGTGGAATTGAATCAGCATGTCCGCTACTGTTGTCGTCAAAATGTGAAAGTGCCTTGAGACTCCACTTAGGCCGAACCGTTAAGCAAATGCTTGGCAAATATTTTCTATCGTTACCCTTTCACAAAGTAACGACATCTACCCGACAGACTACAAGCTGAAGAAATTTTTAACGTATTCTTTCATTTTTAAAAGCATTCTGCAATCCCACCACTCAACAAGGGCATCCCAAATGTCCTCCAACAGCACCCACCGCCACTTGGCGGATTATCTACGCAATTATTAGCTCTTCCTCTGACCCCCTTAAATGAAAGTTCCATGAAGACAAGTAACGTGTGTTTTGTCTAGGGGTCTGCTCGGAGAGCCTAAAACAGTGCCCAGAATAGATTCTTTGCATAATAAATAGTCACGGGTGGGGGGAGAGAAAAAGCTAAAATATCCTTCCTGTGCGTAACACTTCCTCGGTTCTTGGGCCTCTATTTAAATATTCATAGAAGCACAGACATAACTTTGTCTTACCATGGCACTAAGTGTTTCTTCCCAATCAGGCCGCTCTCGAGGGTGAATGTTTCGATGTAATTCTGGGACAAAATCATCCTCTTCAGAATGTACCGAGGACTTCATCTTCCTAGGGAGCAACATAGGAGACAGGTAAGCATTCCCATCCTGCTGAAAGCGTCCCGATGGCCACAATTCGGAGAACAGATTAGTTACGTCAGGTTAGACGTTTGGTTCATACCGCTTTCGTGGCTTATACTGGTTTTCTATTTCTCCTACAGCGGAGTTTTTATCAAAACACCCGCCTTTATTCAAGGCGATTAAAATGAGGGTTACAGGGGCTGGAGAGCAGGGTCAGGGCTATGGAGAGCAGGGGTCAGGGATATGCTGGCATTCACAGGAACCTGGCTCCATCTCTGGCACCGAATGAATGTGTCGAAGCACTGCTGGTGTAGGTGCCACCCAGAAGACCCCTGGCACCCCGGGGCCTGTGCAGCACCAGAGCCCCGGGCCCTAGGATTGAACTGTCCATCTCACTGGCCAAGGGAAAAAGTGGACAGAGGGAAATTTTTGAAAAATAAGCCAGACTTGCTTAAAATCAAAAGACAACAAATAAAGGCACGATTGAACTAAAGACAAAAAATCAAATCAATGTATCAAACTTCAAGCCAAGAATATTATTAAGAGTTTCACAATGAATGGACCCCTAGGCAAGGACGTGATATAACCGTGACCTCCAACCATTTCTGGTGGGACTGTAAACGTTAGCCACCATAAAAAAAAAAGAGTTGTGCATTTCCTCCAACAGGTAAACATGTAAACACTTCTAGATGCAGCCACCCAACTCCTAGGTATCTAAGAAAGGAAACTACAAACATCCACCAAGAACCTGTATAAGAAACTCATACGGAGCCAGAGCCATGGTACAGCGTGTAGGGGGTTTGCCTTGCACGGGCCGACCTGGGTTCGATCCCTGGCATCCCGTATGGCCCCCGTGCACTACCAGGAATGATTCCTGAGTACAGAGCCAGGAGTAACCCTTGAGCATCGCCAGGTTTGAACCCCCAAAAATATACGAAAATAAATAAAAAATAGAAACCTTTACGCATAATACTCATAATAACCAAAAAAAAAAGTCAGAGCAACCTAAAGGTCAATCAGTAAAATCTACCTAACTCATCCAATAAGTGTCACTTGGTCTCTGGGGTGGGGCAGAACGCGGGCTCATGGCAGGGCCTTTTGGGATGCCCAGAGGCACAGCAAGGGTGACCCCATGCACAGCGTGTGGGAGCACTGGTGAGAAGTGCACGCACTGTACCTCAGGACAGACGCAAGGGCCACAACGGCCACAACCAAGTGTGGGCCCCTGGGGAGCACTGCAGCCAGGGGCGCCAGGGACACAGCACTCGGCCAGCGCCGGAGCCACAGCACACACCGACGCCCCAGGGAAAGGGCAGCACCCAGTGTGCATGCCCACCTGTCATCACAGAGAGAAGGCAGAAGAGAGTGCCAACGCACACTGGCACACGGGGCACGGGGACACGGTGCCAACTGGGGAAAGGAGTCGGGCACGAGACAACCTGCCGTGTCACTCCCCTGACACGAAAACTCGGCAACCCTCAATTTCTGGGACAGGAAGTGCGCTGGGGGCTGCCAGGAGTCGAGGAGAAACGAAGAGTCACTCTTAAGAATTAAAAAAAAAAATTTCAGGACCAAAGTGATGTTGTGTATGTGTGTAAAAGCCTTTGAAAGATTTGTTGAAATAAATGATCCCGGCCAACATATTTACTCATCGCTCTCTTTTTTTTTTCCAATTTTAATTTCGACAGTCTAAAAACTTTGTTATGCAAAATGCATTTGACTTTTCCAATAATTCTAAATACTGGTTCTTCCCCCAAGGGACTGCCATGAAACTATGCTTTCAAACACTTAAAATATACATATAGCATATATATATAAATGCATCTCACAGGCGGGGGGGGTGTTGAACGGACGGTACTTGAATTGCACGCAGCTCACCCCAGCTTGATGTGTGACACATGGTGTGCAGTTTGCAGTTCACCACTGCCAGGAGTGAAAACTGAGCGAAGAGCCAAGAAGCCACTTCTGAGCACTGCCAAGCATGGCCCAAACCCCAAGAGAAATTCCCTCCTGAAATATTTAAAAGCAAGTGGTCGCAAATGCGCAACTTTGTGAATGTACGAAAAACCACTGAATTTTATATTGCAGAAGTATGGATTTTTGTGGCAGGAGAATTCCATCTCAATAGAAAGCAACGGCTTTAAAAATCCCAATTCAACTCAACAGGGACATTCTGTCACCAAAGTGTCAAATCAAGAGAATAATAATAATAATGTATATACAAAAAGTAATGGCTTTAAAATCTATCAAGCAAGGAGGCCGGAGTGACAGTATGGCGGGTAGGGCATCCGCCTATCCCCAGCATCGCATATGGTCCCCTAATTACCACCAGGAGTAACTCCTGAATTCAGAGTCAGAAGTAAGCCCTGAGTATTGCCGGGTGTGACCCTAAAAGAAAAAAAAAAGAAGAAAACCCTGGAAGAACAAAAAGAAAAATAAACTACGATCACAGTAAGACGTTTCAACAAACAAACACTTCTTGAATAGGAAGTTAAAACAACAAATAAGTAAGAATAAACAAAACCTTCAAATGGGACAAGAGTTATTATAACACTGTGGGTATTATACACTTGTCTGGCATACATCTGACCCAGATTCAATATCCAGGATTCCATATAATTCCCCGAGCCTGCCAGGAGTCATCCCTGGGCATAGCACCAGGAGTAAGCCCTGAGCACTGCAGAGTGGAGCCACCAAGAGCAAAAACAAAAACACCTCAAATACATCGGAGACCTGAACAATATGATTTTCCTATTTGAACTAATATACACCATTGTTCGCCGACTGCCTCGAGCAGGCCCCAGTAACGTCTCCTTCGTCCTAGCCCTGAGATATTTTAAAAAGGGCCACATTCAAGGCTCTTTCAGGGTTAGGAGAATGAGACCCATCACTGTTACTGGTACTTGGCATATTGGGTACGCCACGGGGAGTTTGCCAGACTCTGCCGTGTGGGCAGGCTACATTCGGTAGCCTGCCAGGTTGTCCAAAGTAGGAATGAGATAATGAGACACCACTAGTCCCAGTAACTACAGAAAAACATCATCTTCCCCAATATCACATGTCAGTTACCGCTCAATAACCCCGGGCAGCAAAGAGCACACACGAACGCTGCATTCTATTTACACGAAACCCAAAGAGACAAAAAGCGACTCTCAGGACAGGACTCAGAACGGCAACATTTGGGAGAGGCACTGGCCAGGTTTTGTAGGGTACTGGAAATAATCTCTCTCTTGATTGGGTTTGTGCTAAGAAGTTTATGCACTTATCACTACGTATATTCTTCAAGCTATTATATTTAAGATGTGTGAATTTTATTACATGGAAGTTATGCCTTAATGAAAATACAGAGCAAAAATTAATTGGCAAAAATTAACACATTATTTTAAAAGATATAAAAATAAGTTTATATACATTTTGCCTCGTACAACAATGAATCAATTCCATAAAGATTTAATATCTGTTTGTTTGGCTCTTGTGTTTGATGCTTTCTAAATTACGTACAAATTTACCATTAGAGAGCTGAAAGCCAGAGCAAACTGCCAGTCGTAAAACCTGAAGACTCTAAAGCCATAATCTAGAGTTTTCTGTAAACCATCTCCAGAATTTGAATCTTGTTATTTTCTATCGCAAGAAAGAACAAAGAGAAAAACACTTTTCTGAAACTGTGGGAACCAGACTTTGCTCGTTAAAAAAAAAAATTATCTAAACCCTTGACACAACTTTGTATTTACATAATGTTCTTATTCGTAACTTATGAAATGTAATACTCAACAGTTTTGAAATTCCACAGAGGCGTTTGAGAGATAAAGTGCCCGAGACGTAGGGGAACTGCTGACTGCCAGGCTGATCCTTTTTTTGATCCTTGAAGTAACTGGCAAGTAGCAACAGAACTTTGCCCTTTTATTTTAATTTCCCTAGTCTTTCTTTTTTATTTCTTTTTTTTTTTTGATGCTTTGTTTACACTACGGTATAGTATTCTACTGTATATTTCATTAACCAGTCCCCTATCAGTGGGTGCTTGATGATTTCCTAACTTTTCCTATTTTTCTACTGCAAATAATGTGGAGGTAAATATTTGTTTTTATACAAGCACATCTGAAAAACAAATTCTCAACAGCAATATATTTGCATATATATAACATAATTGTGTGTGTATGTATGTATATATATATACACACATATATATATATACATACACATATACACATTAGACTTTTTTTCTATTAGGTTGTCGGTCTTCCCCTTACACATTAGACTTTTTTTCTATTAGGTCTTCCCCTTACCTACTTTTCTTTCTGTATCAGTCATCACTTTGACTGTGGCTTCGTCCCAAATAAGTCTGAGGTTATTTGTCCTGCCATTGTTTTGACCATTCCGGTAGTTCTATATCCTACGTAGCTGGATTTTACAATTCTTCCTTTTGGGAATTTTGCTTTTCAAGTCATAGTTCAAAATGCCTTAAGTCTGAAGATATTTATTTTTCCATGTTTCCTTCTGAAACTTTTTAATGGCTTTATTCAATACACTTAGAACTCTGTTGGGAATTTATCCTTGGTATTATCCTGCACTGGACTCCAACTTTTCTTTATTTTCCACAGATACATATCCAGTTTCGCCCGAAGTATTTAGCTAACAATACATTGTCCCCATTGGTTTCCGAGAAGCCACCTTCCACTGTCTGCAAATCTCCCCATATATTTGCTATCCAATCTACTGTACCAAAAGTACCAGAAACACCAGATTCTCCTCACCGAGAATGTGAATGATAATATCTGCTAGTGCTGAGCTCTCTGGCCTCCACCTCTGCCCCCAACCCAACAACAAGTTAGCTAAGATTGATCTATGTAGAGTTTGAAAAGCATTCTCATCACATTTTTAAACATCAACTCACATGCTCAGGAGGTAAAATATTGCCAGTTACGCACAAGATATCTTCTTTTTTTCCCCCAGTAAACTTACTTTTCTTCAACAATGTTTCACATTTCATAG